GCTTGCGGACGCTCATTGGCCGCGCATCGTTCACACACTTTCGCGCCCTCCACGGGGAGGCTAGAGCGCGACCAATAGGCTTCCGCAGTAAGAGAGCTGCCGTCCAATGAGAGCAAAGGGACTCGGGACCTCTTGTTCATTGGCCAGAAGGGCAGAGACCACTTGCCCAGAGACCATTTTTGCCCCGAAGGCGGAATTCCTGGCTGGAGGCAAAGATCACCCCAAAGTCGCAAGTTCCTGTGAGTGACTGGTGACTGACGGCAGAATTTGGGACGAACTCTTTTATTCGGTGAGTCACCCCTTTGGTCATGGAGCTGATTTAGAGGTTTGAGAAAATTCACTGACAGGGACACGATACAGAAAAATTTCAGGCTGGGAGAGATGGGGCATAAAAAACCCATACGGCTGGATAGTATCATATCCTGAAAGGACTGAGGTTTGTCCCTTAAACTTAAAAAAAAAAAAAAAAACAAAAAAGATGTGCATTTCTTCTGCAGTGCCCAAGGGGAGAGCATGTTCTAATTGTAAAAACTGATGTGTTTTATAAGACCCAACGTTAACGTTATGAAAATGTTTTCTAATAAGTTCAGCCTCTCCGTGTCTGAATTCTGTGTGTAACAACCATGTCAAATGTGTTTTCCTGAGTGACCTGAGCTGCTTTCCAGGGTAAAATAAGTGACACGTGGTGATTATGTTCTCCATCGTGTTCATCATTAAGAGCACTGAAGCCATCTACATTCACATAGCTTGCCAACTGCATTAATATGATTTATCTACTGTTTTCATCAAAATAAATTTACTCTCCCAGCAAAGTTTTGCCCAGGGACATGAAACTTGCAAATATCTTTATTGTTTATTCCAGGAACTTCCTCAAAGACCCAAGCACTCTTCAGTTGAAATCATCAAAGTACAGTTGGCATCCCAAACCTTGAAAATCCTTGCTTTGTTACCCACCAATTCTAAACTGTCACCCAGTGCTTACTCTATCCTAACCAATTCCCCACATTAAAGACCTGATTTAAGCCAGACGTCAAAATCTCAATAAATAGCCCAACCTTGCTCTCCTCCTTCTGAAATGCTACCAAAGTTCTGTGAAGCTATTTCTTCCCAAAACCTCAAGAAGCAGTAAGCTTAGCTTTGTCTTATCAACAGGTAGTTCTGCTGAGATTTCTGGGAGCCAGCATTTGACATCCTTGGAAGCCCCAGCAAACACCTAGTCAGTTTCTGCTGCCACAACTCCGGATCCGTGTAGTCCTGAGGTCCCATTAACTTTCTCTCCAGTGCTCTCTGAACTCAAAGGTGAGAACAGCGGATCTTGCGTGAGGTTCAGCCCCAGCTTGCTTTTTGTTGAAGGTCCCCCAAGGGCTGAGTTTATTTTGTCCCTGGGAGTAAAGAAATCTTTTAAGGAATCCTCGTGATTATCTGGCCTAAACTTTAGAAGGTCTACGCTTGAAAATCCGCCTTATTAACAATACAATTGGTCTCTACCGCCGTCAGTTGTGGCTGTACTTGTGTCAGAGAAAAGTTCATAGGGAAGAGAATAGGCTCTGACTCCCCTAAGTCTGGCCCCTCCACTGGCAGTGGGGATGAAGTTCGGAAGGTTTCGTTACAGGCTGGAGGGACTGACACAAACACGCTTTCTAATAGTTTATTCTGGGGGCCCCACCCCCAACAGCCAGGCCCGTTTCCGGGGTGTCCAAAGAAGCGAAGACGCAGAGACGGCGGTGGAAAGAGGTGGGTGCAGGCAGAGGCAGAGGCTGTTAGAAGCCGGGCGGACATAAAAGAGTAGAACCCAGCAGTGGGCGGAGCAGCGGGTCGCGAAAGGCGGGAAAAGTTCTAGAACCTCAGCCCTGCCTCCCGCGGGTAGAGCCCGCCGAGTTATCCCTGGCGCCCCTCCCCGGAGGGCTTCCAGCCGAAGCTCCTAGGCCTTGGTTTCCTCCAATAAGCACCGATCACGGAAGGGCGCTGGATTCGAGTGCCGGAGGCCTGCGGAGGGGCAGGAAGGCGGAAGCGCACGCGCGCCTGCAGGTCTGGGCGGGACACAGCCGCCCACGCGCGGAGCGCGGGGGAGGCTTTTATTTCCGTGGCGGCTGCTGGTCACTCCCTGTGCGGGAGGGGGCGGGGAGCGGGGTGGTGGCCTAGGGTCAGCCGAGACCCGATCGATCCCTCTTCTTGTCTGGCTCAGATCTGTGCACTTGCTCTAGGGTAAAGGGGGAGGGGGGAGGAGGAGTTCGTGAAGGGGACAGAGGAGATGGGGAGGGGAGGAAGCTGGAGGAGAGGGGAGGAAGATGGGGCGAGCGAGGGAGAGCGAAAGAGAGAGAGGAGTGCGGGAAGAATTCCAAGAGAGAGCCTCTGGGTGGGCAGGAGATGTCCCTGTCTTTCTTAATCACCTTACTGGGGGACATTGGGCAAGTCGTTCAGGTCAGCAGAGCCTTCTCCAACTCTAAGACCGGGCTGGAGTATGAGAGCTAGCTAAGGACACTTCACATTTGCTGTAATATGGTTCCAGCTGGATACTGGAAATGATGTTGGGGGCAGGAGGTGGATATTGGGGTGTTTTCTTAACCTCTTGTCTCTTTCCACTGTGAATGCTCCAGTTCACCCCCGTATAGTTCAAAAGTCACGTTTCTTTCTGTCCACTTTATATATACACATATGTGTGTATATATATGTGTATATATATATATATTTATTTATTTATTTATTTTTTTCTTTTGGTCCATATGTAATAATCACTCCTAAATCACCTGGGTCCTGTCTCAAAGTCCGCCAGTTGGGGTCATCCTCAACAGCACACTGAACCCCCAGATTCTCTTAACTATTGGGCAGTAAGTTCTTGCCTTCAAGGATCTTACAACATAGCCCCACTGCTCCATGATATGTATCTGTTTCTGTTTCCCCAGGTTCTCTGCAGTTTAACAATTGTGGTAAGTATATTGATATTGATAATAGTGATAGTAGTAATATTTACTGGGCAGCCTGTTATGTTCCAGGAACTGTTCTAAAGGCTTTATATGAATTGTATTTTTTAATCTCCACAAGCAGAGAGACAGATTCCACCACTCCTCCCGTCTTAGAGATGTGGACAAGGAGATAGACAGTGCTTAATTAGTAGGCCCAAGGTCATGCAGCTAGTAAGTGGTAACCAGATATTTGAATCCAGGTGGTCTTATAAAAACTAACATTGATGCAGCAACTTCATATTCTTTACCTCATTTAGAATTATGGCCTCGTTTTACAAATAGGAGAGTTAGGCTCAGAGACGCTGGAGTTTCCTGGGTAGCTCATTACCAGTAAAGAATGAAGCCCAGGCTCCTGCTCCACAGTGAAATGGTTAAGGGCACAGTCTTTGAGAACTTCCACTTGACAAGAAACAGACAGGCTAGAGCATAAGTTAAACAACGAGCAGGAACCCAGCTGAGCTGGCAGCACAGAGCCTGATTGCTGGGCTGGAACCCACAAACCACAAGATCGTGACCTGAGCCGAAGTCGGACATTTAACCAACTGAGCCACCCAGGCAGCCTGGGTTTTATTTAAGTTTCTATTTTTAAGTAATCGCTACACCCAACATGGGGCTCGAACTTACGACCCCGAGATTGAGTTGCATGCTTTTCTGACTGAGCCGGCCAGGCACCCCAAGAGACACAATTAAAGACAGGCTTGTGTACCCCAGTTGGATCTTGGTCTAACCAAATCAGTATTGTAATTATACAAGAAAAAGTTCTTCATTTGTAGATCTGGAAAGAGATAATTAGGGATAAAATGTCACGATGTATCTAAGTGTAAAATAATCTAGTAAAATAAAAAGATGATGCAAATTTGGCAAAAAATGAACAATCACTAGGCATATGAGATCATGACCTGAGCCCAAATCAAGAGTCAGACGCTTGACTTGAGCCCAAATCAATCATTATACTATTCTCTTTTTTTGTTGTCGTTCCTATTTGAAATGTTCGTAATCAAAAGTATGCTGGAGCTTTGTAACCTTGAGTAAATAGTTTAGTCTCTCCGGATCTCAAGATTTTTATTCACAAAATAGAACTAAGAATGCCTATCTCACAGAGTTGGGAGAATTAAATGAGATCATTTATAAAGAGCTCTTAGGATAGGGCATAGCATATCATGTGCAGACTCCATTCCTTCATTGGATCTTTATAAATGTGTCTGTATTGAGAGCTCACCACGTGCCGGCATCATGGTACATGTTGGGATACTGAAAACAGAGGGCTTTTGCCCTCTATGGCTTTTGTTCTATTTACTACTAATGAAAATTGCACTGTTTTATTTACATTGTTCATTCTCTTCTGTGGGGTCATGAGAAGAAAGATAGAAGGAAAAATACCCCTTTAAACAAACAGACAGACAAAACCAACAGACGAGCAGCAACGAAACTTCCTGACTCTTCCCAGGTAAACTCTCATTCCAAGATTATTTTGTCTTTATGGTCCTTTTCCCATCCATTCCTCTGTAATTACACCATCCCTGTGCTACCCCCACCTTAAGTGGGGGCCAGATTTTGACATCAGTGGAACTAGAACACACTTCTGCATTCTCAAACTGCAGAACTACCCTTCTGTAAGGCATTTATACCTGCGTTTGAATTGCATCTCTGCCACGTAGCTCTGGCCTTGAGGATCACCTGCCTGATCTGAGTTATACGTTCCTCATCTGCAAAAAGCAAATATACCTGCTTTGCACGGTATCTGGGGGGATTGGCAATTAGAGATAATTTTTGTAAAGTATTTAGTGTGGTATCTAACGTGCGGTGCTCTATAGAAGGAACCTTGTATTGTTGAGGTGATTATAGTCATTGGTAAAGGGTCTGTTGCTAGGTTAACATCTTTGAAGAGAGGGTGCTAGAGCCCACGGGGGAAGCGTGGGATGTGGGGTCCCTGTTAACATTATCCTCTATACAATGAACACAGCTCTGAAGACACAACTCTTGAACCTTTGGGAAACTAGTGTTTTGGCTGAACTGTCGATTCATCTTTAAGCCACCATGAGCCCTACAAAGCGCAGATCACAGAAGATCGCATTTGATGAAAAGCGTAATAGGAAAATTGATCACTATTTTCATCAGGTATGTTTGTAAATACTATTTACGGAATATACCGATACGAGACACAGCTCTCCTTGACACTGGGTGCCATAGTTCTCTCTTCCAAGAAATTACCTCGTGGTAGGTTGAGGATATTAAGTTAAAATCTTTCTTGGGGCACCTGGGTGGCTCAGTCGGTTAAGCATCTGACTTTAGCTCAGGTCATGATCTCATGGTTTGTGGGTTCGAGCCCCGTGTCCAGCTCTGTGCTGACAGCTCAGAGCCTGGAGCCTGCTTCGGATTCTGTGTCTCCTTCTCTCTCTCTGCCCCTGCCCTGCTCGTACTCTGTCTCTCTCTCTCTCTCTCTCAAAAGTAAATAAAACATTAAAAAAATTTTTTTTAATCTTTCTTATCCATTTGTTCTATTTTATAGTTTTAGTATAGTTTTTTTAAATTTTATTTATTTATTTTGAGAGAGAGTGAGTGAGGGAGGGACAGAGAGGTAGAGAGAGAGAATCCCAAGCCGGTTGTGCACCATTAGCCTGGAGCCTAATGTGGGGCTCAAACTCATGAACCCTGAGATCATGACCTGAGCCCAAATCAAGAGTCAGACGCTTGACTTGAGCCCAAATCAAAAGTCAAATGCTCAACCTATTAAGCCACCCAGGCACCCCAGTTTTAATATAAATCTTGGCCATATCAAAGCAGCCTTTGGTAAAAACTATTGTAACACTTCCTGAACAACAACAACAACAAAAAGTACAATATCATGTATTATAGTCAACTATGGAATAAAAACATTAACACCATTTCATAGCATGAAACTATATGCTATCCCAAATATGGCTCATGTATTTGATCACAACAATAACCTACATTTATATTGTGCATTCTGGTCTACAAAACACATTTTAAAATAATGATCCTCCAGGCACCTGGGTGGCTCAGTTGAGCATCCCACTCGTGATTTCAGCTTAGGTCATGAACTCACAGTCATGAGTTCAAGCCCTGCATCGGGCTCTGTGCTAGGCCTGGAGCCTGCTTGAGATTCTTTCTCTCTCTCCCTTGCTCACATGGTCTCTCTCTCTCAAAAAAAAAAAAAAAAAAAA